CCGCCAAGCCAAGGCTGCTTCGGGGCGTTTTAGACTTTCCCCTTTCTGTCTCTGTATTGTATAGACTGTATAGACTAGTATTGTACTGTTATGGTAGGGATTTGGTTCCTAACCCGAATGTTTGTATATGTATGTATAGTACTGTTGGGTACTGAATGTGAATATGTATGAAACATATTTTTGTATACAGACTGTCACAGCACATTGGACATCTTTTAATTACTGTTTTGGCTTCCGCCAGCCCCTGTACTCTGTATTACTGTTTTACTGTTAAGCAGGCCTTCGGTTATCTCAGATTACTGGCCGGTTACGGTGCTAAACCTATAGGGGCGGGTTTGGGTCGTGACAGAGTAATCCTCCACGGATTTTACACAGACTTTCTAAGTCCAAAAAACACTGAGAATACTACACTCTTATAGGATTGAAAAGAAGGTGTTTTTGTTTTCACAAAAAGCTACAAGAATTATCTCTCAAAGATATATATAAAAATGAGACTTTGATTTTTCTGTAATCCTCACACAGGAAAAATGGGCTCAAAGCTATACGACTTAATGTATAATTTCTGAGAGAGGATGTAAACAAAAATTGAAGAACACTTCACAGAAAATTTTTCAAATAATAGATGAGAGTGATTTTAGATCAAGGAATATTTTCTGGTTGGTTTCTGTAACTTGTTTGTAGTTGTTGTCACTTGTACACATCAGAAGTTTTGGTATATATAATGAAACTTATAGCCATTTATAGCCGTTATATTCATTTGAATATCTTCCACTCCTTCATTACAAATTTGAATATCTTCCACTTGAACCTTTGGAACCTGTTGAACTGCTGCTGTGCTGGGCTGTTTGAACCTTTGTTGTTGGGCTATTTGAACCTCTGTTTTGGGCTGTTTGAACTCCTGATTTAATCAAATATTAAATACATTCTAACAACATTTAGGATAAAGGTTTAGGCGAGAAATAATGGTACAAAATAAATTTTGATTCTATTTTTCTCTTTCAAATAAATTAAAACATAATTAAATAAATCATCAAAATAAATGTTGATTCTATTTTTCTCTTTCAAATAAATCATCAAAATAAATTGTGATTCTATTTTTTTCTTCCAAATAAATTAAAACATAATTAAATAAATCATCAAAATAAATAAGTTTAATATAAGTCATATGTGTGGATTCCACCACTTATCAATGTCTTAATATTGTATCTTCCTGTGTTAGTTGGTACACTAATAAGTATTTCTATCATTATTATTATCTTTTATTAAAAGTGTTTGGATTATCTCAATTTAACTATCTCAATTTGAAAGAACATTTTAGATTTGGTAAGCTCATTTTAAGTAGAGGTGAGCATGGTCTGATTTCGAATCAAACCATTTAAACGCGATTTAGTTCGGTTTAGAGCATAATATATGCTTACAAAAAAAATCATACTATAACATTTTCAAAAAAATTCAACAATTCATAAATTTTAAAAATATTAATAACGTGCCCATCAAACAAAGTTAAGTTGAGAGGAGACCAAGTTGAGTTGAGTTGCGCTGGCAGTTGTATACCCATACAGGGGAGGGAGATAGGATACCATGGTGACAACAAAGGCGGTATTGACGGATTGCTCTGTTTGGCTATCGGGAGATTCCCCACCACAGACTAGGATTTCGTTGTTCTGGTATTGGATAATCTTAAATATTAGGGACTAGAATTTTTTTAAACAGTATTGCTAGAAACACTAATGATTAATGTTATAGAACTCAAAAGTTCTATTAAAATTTTTAGCTAATACATCAAACTCATAATCATTTCACTTTTTCTCTCACAAACATCGCATTCAACTATAAAAAAAATCTTATCATCTTTCCAAACACAAAAATTTTAGCTTACTAACATAGTCAAAAACTAAAATAGCCTATTAAAATAGCAACTTCCCAAACACCATCTAAATGTCTTACATGGATGTGGGACCCACACCATGTGGGTCTCATGTGGGTTCCACACCCATGTGAGACTTTTAGTAGAAATTTTGATAGAACTTTTGAGATCTCTAACATTTTTGAACATTAATTAGTAACTAAGACATGAGTCAACCAGGTAAGACATAATATCTACCGAATAAATATATACGGTTTAAGTTATACAGTCCAGTTTGGTTCAAATCTGGAACTGTGAACCTAAATTCAGAACCAATCCACGGAGACCAAATTAGCAATTTTCCAAATCATGAATTAAAAACACTAAACCAAATCTATCAGATTGGTCTAGACCGGTTTGATTTGTTGATTTTTTTGTTTACTTACACAGCCCTAATTTTGAGACTCATTTTTGGAATGATATTGGTAATATGAACAATTCACTTTCTAATACTCATATAGTAAAATATTCATATGAAAAATTAAGATGATCAGACGCATTCACTTTTTAATACTCTTTCAATAGAATATTTATGTTAAAAATTAAGATGATTGGATATCGATTATTATATGTTTAATTCACATTTGTATTATAAGAAATAAATGACTACTTTTGAAATTATAATTATCATCCAATTTTTATACACAGCGGGTCCTATAATTGGGATCACTGATATCGACCTCAAAATGAGTTCTCAAAATGAGTTCACAAAATTCAAAAGTTCTCTCACGTTAAATCTAGCTCGAGAGAATTCAATCATTTACTAAATTTTTTAAATTAATTTAATAATTTATTAATAAATTTATTATGCAATTAAAAATTTAAAAGATGAGGATTACAAGGGATAATTCATATGTAATTTAAAGGAAACTTTATGACTGTATTTACAATTTATCCAAATAGAAATAAAAATATATATATATAAATTAAAAAATGCAATACTAATATACTTCTCTTTTCCTCTCTCAAATTATGAAAAATAAACAAACTTCTCTTTTTTGTTAATTTATTATCACTCCCTTTAATATGTTCAAATTCTACTTTATATCCTTGTCCTACTATATAATCTAAAAATTTTGCCCATCTTTTACTACTCATTAAGTTTATTATGAAATCTAACTATAGCTTCGCAGTTTGTTCTAATTGTAAAGGGCTTGTGTAAAAATAATCTAAATTTGTTTATTGCATATACTATTCTTAATATTTCAAAATCTAAGTGGGTCATGGTTGTATCTTTTTCTTTAATTTTTTCAGAATTATATCTACAAATGCGCTCTTTATTTTTAATATCATACTTGCTAGGTTTAGCTAATAATACTGTTCCCCATCCTAATTCACTTGCATCTATTTCTATGACTATATATTCTGATTCTAAGGGAAGTTGTAGGTCGGGAAATTTCTACAAATGTCTTTAATTTTTCTTACTAAAGCTATATCTTGTTGGTTAAAATATTTTTGTCCTGTGGGTGTGGTCTTGCTATATAGAGGTTCTATTATTTTACTAAGGTTAGGAATATACATTCATGCATAATTTAAATCCCTAAAAATGATTGAAGTTGTTTTGTATTTTCTAATTTGTTTGGGTAATCTAAATTTTTTTTAACTGTGTGGGGTTGCAGCCTGATTTTTCCATCTCCTAACTTTATTTCTAAAAATTCTATATGAGATTTATTTAATACCATTTTTCTCTTACTAATTATTATTCCATTGTTTATAAATTCTTCTAATACTATATATAAATGATCTATGTGACTATTTTTATCTAGGCTAATTACTAATATGTCATCTATATATACAAGTATAAAACTATATTTATTAAATATACTATCTATTTTATGCTGAAATATGTAAGGTGCATTTTTTAGTCCAAAAGAAATTTATCGGATTGGTCTAGACCGGTTTAATTTGTGGATTTTTTTGTTTACTGACGCGGCCCTAATTTTGAGACTCATTTTCGGGATGATATTGGTAATATGAACAATTCACTTTTTAATACTCATATAGTAAAATATTCATATGAAAAATTAAGACCCATTTACTTTTTAATACTCGTTTAATAGAATATTTATATTAAAAATTAAGATGATTGGATATTGATTATTATATGTTTGATTCACATTTGTATTATAAAAAATAAATGACTACTTTTGAAATTAAACTTATCATCCAATTTTTATCCACAGCGGGTTCTATAATTGGAATCACTGATGTCGACCTCAAAATGAGTTCACAAAAATCAAAAGTTCTCTCAAGTTAAATCTAGCTTGAGAGAATTCAATCATTTATTCATTTTTTTAATTAATTTAATAATTTACTAATAAATTTATTATGCAACTAAAAATTTAAAAGGTGAGGATTACAAGGCATAATTCATATGTAATTTAAAGAAAACTTTACGACTGCATTTACAATTTATCCAAATAGAAATAAAAATATATATAAATTAAAAAATGCAATACTAATATACTTCTCTTTTCCTCTCTGAAATTATGAAAAACAAACAAACAAAAAGAAAGAAAGAGAAAAGAAAAAAAACTCGTAGCCTTATAATAGGTTAATTTATTATTCAATAAATCTTATGATAATTAATGATATTATTCATTAAATATTATTAAAATATCACTAATCGTTAATTTTCAGTTACAGTTTAAAAATTGTCATAAAAAATATCACAAATTATAAATTTTAGCGACAGTTTAAAAAAATTATAACAAAAAATGTACTAATTTTTAACTTTCAGCGACAATTTAAAAAATTTATTATAAAAAAAAATTACTAATTGTAAGTTTTAGCGATAATTTATAAAATTTCTAATAAAAAATCATTAATTATCAATTTTTAGCAATATATATATATATATAATTATTCCAAAATATTTTTTAGTAACAATTTTATTAAAATTTATTTTCAGTAATACTCGATAGAAATGTACAATTATTGGTAGTTTTCTTAAAAATAAAAAAATGGTTAGTAACCATAAACGACGTCGCTCCATCTGGCTGGAGTTGGCCAACACAGAAGCAGCCTCCGTATTTGCGCCTGTTTGGTTAAAAGCATTATCGATCAGATTCGAGCATAGCCCAGGTGAAGAAGGGGGGAGAGAGAGAGAGATGGGTTACGTTCTGAGAGTGAGAATGGCGTCGTTCTTCGCCGGCGCCGCAGCGGCATCATTTGTGGGTATGTACATCCTCCACCAGGATTACCAGGTTGCTCACCACTCCATCTCTCAACAGGTTGACATACTTCTCTTCTAAATCCATCCTAATTCCCTCTTCTTATCAATTTTCAACCCTTAATATGCTAGTACCCTAACTGTACTTGTTGGGTTTGCAAAGCGCTATGAATTTGGTGAGGGATTGATTTCTCTCTCAGTTTCTTTGATATTTTTCTACCTCAATTTCTTTAGATTTTTCTGGTTTTATGGTGATGAAACCCTAATAAAGAGATTTGTGTACTATATTTACTCTGTTTTTCCTATGTTTATGGTAACTTAGAAATTAGTGGTTATATTAACAAGAAATGGGTAATTGTTGGGATTTTAACACAACGTTATGTTGTCCTATTCTTTTGCTACATTGGAATTTCTCCAATGGTGAGGTATAAGGGTTGCTATTGCTCAAAAATGGCATCAAGTTCAAATTTGGCACCAGTTTTAGCAATAGCTATTTTGTCAGCTTAACAAAACTATTCAAAATCACTATCCATCTTCCTAATTGTATTCTAGAAACACTGTTCATCTCCCCTAAAAAAATAGCAGAAATCTACAAAAAAATATCCATGGCACTTCCATCAAAAATTAAGATTGATATTTGCAAAACAAAAGGACACACAAATTTAAGTAGGGGTATTAAAAAAAACTGGTGAAACCAGTAAACCATTCAATTCGGTTCAAACCATTGGTTTAGTATGGTTTTTATCAGTTTCGATTTTGGTTTCGGTTACCTATTCCAAGGCTTTGGTTATGGTTCCGAACCGAACAGTGGTATATATATATTTTTAATTTTTTTAAATACTTTTGTGTATAAAAATAAGAATATAGAAGTTAATAGTCAAATTTCAATACTAGTCTTGATTGAAAAATTGAAGGGCTCTAACCAATTTAACTAAACAAATTATTGTTAGTTTATTTACTCTTATCAAATATACATCATATTTCTTGTTATATAAAATTTTTAAAATTGTAGAACCAAACTGAACTAATCAATTTCTATGGTTTGATTATGGTCTGGTTACAAAGGTTCAATGGTTCAGTTACAGTTTCAATTTTCCTGGAACTCTAACGCTGTGTTTGATTGGAGGTTTTGGGGAGGGATTTGGAAAGGAAAAGGGAAAAGGTGTGTGAAACTATGTGAAATGTAGGCATGTTTTTTTCACATTTCACCTACGTTTTCCATTTCTCTTTCCAAATCCCTCCTCAAATCCCTCAACCAAACACAGCATAAAGCAGGACCAATCCAATCCATGAACACCCCTAATAAGTATAGAAACAAAAACCATATAATTTCACATATAGAATGGATCAAGAACAAAATTATTAAAAAAATGAAAGATTAAGCACAAAAATATCAGCACAATTCAACAACTCAAATTATTATGTTCCTCAAATCTTTCTCTATGATTATGTCTTGTGCTATTTTATTTTGCAATATATAACTTTAAATTAAATTAATAAAGTTTGATTGTGTAGTATTTTGAAATGGTTGTTGAAATCGGAGAATAAATGAAAGAGAAAATTTGTTGTGGCAAAGTTACTATTGAGAAGCCACATTGCTAAAATGTAGTGTTTTCTCACTATCTATTGCTAAAAGATACTAATAGCTAGCCATTTAGCTATTGAATCATTGGAGATGACTTAAAATGCTTCAGAAGCCATGTCTAGAAAGCTTTAGAAAGCAGATAGTATAAAATCAATCAGCCATGCTGCGTGGTTTCCAAAAATCCTCTCTGAAGGGGGAAAAAAGAATTGCTCAATATCCTGTTTGAGATCTCAACTGTATGACTAGCGAAAAGAATATTCAGGGAATCGCCAAGGCATTAATTTCTTTCTTCCTTAGACTAGTTTAGTCAATACATGGCTATGAAAATTACTATTGATGGATTCGATTTCCAGTGGAGACCTAACCACTCCTTTGATACGCTAACTTTAAATCTTCAACCTTGTATTTTTTTCTTTATGTATTGAAGGAGCAATGCCTCTTAAGTAGATGACAAGCATGGAGTACCTCTGTTGTATGTGGCTTGTACAGATTTGATCTCTAACCTTGTGAAGATGGCAGGCTTTGGGGAGAAAGAGGATAGTGTATTTGTAGTGTAGGTGAAATTTGAGTTATGTTTATCTTAGGATGAAATTCTTGAACTCGGAATTATGAAAATAAGTATTATGATTTTAAAATTTTTCTTGATTTTATTTCTTGAAGTTGGAATCTATCCATATTAGTTGGAATTAATGGTTACTAGGGATCATTGTTTGTTGTAGTGGTCAAATTCTTGGTTGCCAAACATGAAAACAAGGGTTCGAGTCTGAGAGCATCCATTTTGTGCATCTTATGTCAGCAGTTAGGTCTATGTCTAGTCTACCCCTTCCAACACCCTTGATTATTGGGGACAAAAATTGGGAAATGGCCTTTGTAGTGGTAAACCTTCATTGGTATAATTTGAAGACGATCCATATGGATATCATCTATGAAGCATGGACACTCTAAAATCGGTGCCGTGGTAGTGTCTGACACGCGGACACGCCAGGGACATGGGGACACGCCGGAGACACTTACGGGACACACCAGATGGCTTGTCCTTTTAATTTATTGATTTTTTTGTAGGGGATATGGCGGGGACACACGTGTCCATATCGGGACACAACGGGGCTCACTTTTTTTTTTTTTTTTTTCCTTCTTCTTTTGCCTCTCTTATTTAGTGCTTTTGTGAAGAATATTGTTGGATGTTGAATGTTTTCCCCATCTCGTCTTAGTTCCTGTTATCGTTTATTATGACTTTTTTGTGAATTGATGATTTATTAATTTTTTAAATGTAGTGGTTATATTTATTGAATTAATGTTACTATGTTAGTGTTTGTTAATTTTAATTTAGGATGAATGTAATATGAATCTACATAACATATAAAAATATATATATAAATAAATTTGCCGTGTCCGTGTCTCCATTTTTTGGAAATTGCCGTGTTGGTATCCGTGTCTATGTCCATGTCCATGTCCATGTCCATATCCGTGTCCGTGCTTCATAGGATATCATCTATGATGCACGGACACGGACACGAACACGACATGGATACGTGGACACGCAAATTTTCAAAAAATGATGGATACGACACGTTGGAGATATGCTTAATATATATAATTTTGTTTATTTATTATATGTCTAAAATAAAAAGAAAATTATTGATTCTTATACAATTACAATAATAATAAGATCAATAAACATATTTCTTAAATTTTTTTAATAAAAAATGAGTTTTTTTTAAATAAAAATAATTTATTCTATGAATTTTAGGCTTAACAAACATGAGGATAAAAAAAAAAGAAGAAAAAAAGAGAAAGGAGACAAATCAAGAAAATAAAGGAGGAGAGAGAAACAAAAGAGAGAGAGAGAGAGAGAGAGAGAGAGAGAAGTGAAATTAGGAAAAAAATAAAAAAGGAGAAACACAAGAGAGAGTGAAATCAGAAAACGGAGAGAGAATCAGAGAAGACGAAGAGGAGAAACAGAAAAGGGAAGAGAAGAAGAAGAAGAAGAAGAAGAAGAGATAAGACGAAGAAGAATACCTCAGGGCTTTTTTGATTGATCTGAATAGGTTAGGGCTTCTTTCTCTCCCTTGATCTCTTTCTCTCTCTCTCTCTCCCTCCAACAGTTAGGGCTTCTTCGATCCACCTGCTCGTGTCTAGAAAATGTCATGGTGTGTCCATGGCGTGTCCGACTGGAAAAATTCAAAAAAAAAAAAAAAGGGGACACGTTATTGGGTTGATTCGTTAGAGACGTGTCGGTGGTTCATAGGATATCATCAACTCCTTCCGTTCGTAGATTTTAAGCCATTATATATTGCTACATACTACACAATAACAAATTAAGTGTTTCTTTCTTTTTATTTCTTATTTTCATCTTCTCTGGTGAAGGATCACCTGCATGTTGTTAGGCCCCGTTTGTTTTGGGGTGTAGAGGGTGGGATGAGATTAGGATGGAGGTGGGGCCCATTTAGTGTTGTGTTTGTTTGTAAAGTTGGGGAATGGATTAGGATAGAGGAGGGGATTAAGGTTGGAAGGGGGGATTGGGATGGAGGAGGTGGAGGTGGTATTAGAAAAATAGTGAGAGGATTAGAAATTTTTTTATTTTTTTATTTTTTACATGTTGGGCATTTTTTTTTTGAACATTAATGTTTAATTTTTTGTATTTTTTTATTTGTTTTTATTATTTTATATAAAAATAATTTAATAATTCCTACACTAACAACTATCATCAAAACAAATACAATTTTACTTAATCCCCTCACTATGAATCCTCTCCATTCTATCTCTGAAAACAAGCGGGGCCGTAAGGTTGTTAGGATGGCACTTTGTTAAGTAGAATTGAGATGGTTCATTTCAACTACATATTCCTATTTAGTATACAGTAAAGATTGCACTTTACATAACTTGTTTGCGCAGATGAAAGGACTGAATGAGTCTCTGGATGGACGCATATCTGCTCTGGAAAAGTTTAAGGAGATGGAAGCTTCAAAACCTGTGGAAGCGGCAGAATAGATGTCTGAGGGTCTGCTGCTAGCCTTTTATGTTGCAGACTTGCAGGTCCTGTTCAGGAGGATTCCTCTTTTTTCCTCTTTTTTTTCTTTTTTAAAAAATTTTACTTCACTATTTCATGTCAATAATTGCACACCAATTGCTCTTATGATATTAAATTCTCACATTGTGCAAGAATCATCTTTGTTTGTTTGTTAATGAACACAGAAAATGTAGCTTCTCAAAATTATGACACCTTGCTGGATGGTTGAGCAATCTTTTCTATTAGTAATATACACAACACTTGGACTACTAGGATTGCCAGAAGAAAATTCACACGTGTTGGATTCACTCTAAGAGGAAATTACCATCGTCGTCAATAGTACTGGGACTGGAGCTACTAAACTCCAGCCAAGGTGTGAACCATAGAACACATTTTGCCTGAGGTTTATGATTTTCAACCAGAAGAAGTTTTATGCAGGGACTTCTTTAGAGTATTGATAGCTGCCAGGATTTCTGTTGAGCTTATTTTCGTTCTGAGCCCCCATCGCCACCTAGCACAGCCAGCAATGGTGCCCGGGTTGGAGCTATGTATGTCATAGTATCCATGTGTTGCTAGGGAGAAAACACTTTGAGTTTCTCAAATCTCTACCAGAAAAATATATAAACTATCTAGCATTAGAGTAATTGTAGGAGTAACCATAACTGATGAATAATGACAGGATCAAAATGAATCACTTGAACCTGTTGAAGAGCAATTCAAGTACAGGAACATACTGTTAAACCATTCTAAAGCTAATTTTGGATAGGATGAAACCATTGTTGTCAAATTGTGAATCGTTTTGTAAAAATAGTGTAAAATTTGCTTTATTAGTAAGACGTAATTTTATATGTGTTTACATACAAGGAATAGATATTAGGATTAATTACATGGACCTCCCTGACATATCTGACAATTACAAGAACCCCTGTGGTTTTTGAAATTAGACAGGCTTTCTTTACTTTTGCTGACAGTATACACATGCCCCTCCTGCATTTAGCTGATAAAGAAGGTAACAGAAATATCTTATGTTAGCAATTTTTGGCCTCTTAATACCAAAATTACCCTTATTCCCAAGCATCCCAAAATATTCTCTCACAACCAAACACCAACCTTTATTCTTTCTTCACTGTACTGTCGTCTCCCATGCCTCCTTCCCCCATTTTATGTAGCAACATCAACACACACCACCACCACCACAACATTTTGTGTGTGTGTGTGTCTTACTGTAACATCACCACCACCTCCTTTCGAACCACAACAACATCAATGCTACCACCTATCTATATGGCCACACTCATTCCACCTCTACTAGACTATGTTCTTTCCACACCCACAACCACCGCCTATACCAACCACCAAATTATCAAACCATAATAATAATAATAATAATAATAAAATCAACACAACAATTGCAAAGAATTATCCACCTAATGCCTCTCTTTTGCATTTTGTTGAACACCATATGAGCTTGCCCCCTACCCCTTCCACAAGCCTTTGTATGTTCCAAAACCAAAATCACCACAAAAGAACATCTTCAAATGGTCTTAAAATTCCATTCGCACACACAATTTACTAAAACGTTTACGTGCATAAGCGCGAGCATGGCCATGCACACATATATAGAGAGGAGGAAGAAGAGAAACAATAAGTCCCTCAACCTCCACCGCCACCTGACTGTCGCACCACCATCTGCTTGTCCAATCTTAAAAAACCTAGAAAATGTTTACCGGTTCTTGTTCCATAAAACCTTTGTGGTGGACTCATCTTGAGGGGTGATTCTATTTGCACCCAAATAATAATTCAGTACTTATAACGAAAATTTTGAAAATTTTTATTTCTACACACCTACGTATCTCAGTATACATCACATATGAATTTAATTAGGTATTATTTATCTTATTTCACACATTACATATTCCAATTATAACATTAACAAGATGATACTCTTGCGTTCACCACAATCTTCTCTTCTCTCTATGCCAATGTCTTAGTACCATCTCCACCTTAACCGATGCTATTGACAGAAACCCATTTGAATCACCAGGTCTTAGCTACTCCACTCCTGTCAAATTGCACCATTTGAGCCATGTATCGCAAGAATGCACTGATTCCAGAGACTTCCAGATTGGTTTATCTGTCCATACCCTACTTCTAAGGATTGATTTTGATGGGTTTATCCCCTTGTGGAACAAGCTTCTAAATCTGTACTATAAATGCGATCAGTTTTTTATTGCTCATTGAGTGTTTGATAAAATGTCTAAAAGAGATGTTGCTTCATTCAATATGATGATTTCGAATTGTGTTCGTCGAAATTATTGTCTCAAAGCTATCTCTTTTTATTAAAATTGTTTTTGGAACAAAAATAATAATTTCGACAATTGATTTCCGACAAAAATTAAAAAAAAAAAAAATCAGTAATGGTTTGCTGAAGAGGGCTTTCTTAGAAAGCAAAGCTCGCTAGAAAATCAAACTGGTGGGTTTGTGGCGATGGCAATAGAGGCGATGATGATGAGGAAGAAATCACCGTTTGATTTTTGTTATCATCTTCCTCTATGTTGTTCTCCATTGGATTCGTAACCGAAACAAATTAAATTGATTATAAAGAGAGGAAAAAAACAAAAGGGTTTGTGGGTTTGTTTGTTGTTGTTGGTGGTAGAGAGAGAGAAAGAGAGAAGAGATGAGATGGGTTGGTTAGGGTTTTGATGTCTATTATGGTCATTTTATTTTAGGGTATTATTGTCATTAAAATAAAATTTTATTAAGTGTGTGCACTGAAATAAAGAGGTGTATGGAAATAGAATTTTCTTAAAATTTTAGTTTCTATTATACTCTTATATAAATTTATTAAAAAGGACGATGCATATTAAATTTCTAAAATATAATATTATTTTTTTATTGGCTAATGCTATATGCACCAATTAGTGCATTAACTAGTGTATCAATTGATAATATGACATAATTTAAGATATTTTTAATATTTGTAATTTGTATAATGAGTGTGATTAATAATAATATCATAACTAGTATTGATACACTAATTAATATACTAATTAGTTCATGTAATATTACTCTTTTTTATTATGATACACTTTAATCACTTATACAAATTTTTTATATTTAAATCTTTTCACATTCTTCTTAAAATTTTAATTATTTTCTCTTTATTTTTCTATTAATTCTAAAACTTCAATTCACCCCATCAAAACATACGCGGTTATTACCTATTCTTTCTAGCCTTTTCAGCAAGTGTCTTGACTTGGAACTTGGAAGAATTGTCAATGGCATCCTTTTCCTCCTCCAATCGCTTCTTCTTTCTCCACTTCTCGAGGCTTCTATGTATGCAACAGCCTCTATCTTACCGCATGATTGGGATGTCAAGGATATCATTACCAGCGGAACGTGTGGATTCGCTGAAATCAATGGTGAATGATTTATTAGAAAATTAATAATCATAAAAGTTAATTTGTGAAAAAAAATAAAATGTAATGAGAGTATATTATAATCATAAATAATTAAGAGATTTATTATAATTTTTTTTAAGTGTTTGTATTCCAATTAGTCTATAAGATATTCTTGTATTTTAATAAGTCCTATTATTTGAATATTTGATCTATCAAATTCTAATTCTCATATTTAGCCTCCGTTTGGGAAGTGGGTTGGCTTTTTGGCTTTTTGATTTTTTTGGCTATTTTAGCCTGGGCTTAAAAGCTTGGTTTGGAAAGGGTTTTTTGGTTTTTTGGCTTTTTTGAGTTTTTTTGTGAGAGAAGAATGTAATGATTATGGGTTGGATGTGATATTTTGTTTGTTATGGCTAAAATAGCCTATTTTGTTTTTTGTGGCTAAAATAGCCAAAAAAGCCTGCAAACCCACTTGCCAAACACAGGCTAAGAGTATTTGAACGGTTAGTAATTTGGTAATGTGAACATTCATATTTTACAATGTGAATATTCACATTGACGGTGTGAATATTCACATAACGGAACATTTATATTGTAAATATAGATATTATTAGGAGTATTTTGGTAACTATATCACTCATAGGACTTATTGAAATATAAGAAAATAATGAAATATAAGAAAATAATGTGAACTAAATAGAACATAAATAGGTAAAAAATAATTTATGAAAAAGTACTCCTAAATAATTTAATAAGAGGGTACTGAAAAATTAAGTGTATTAAATACTTTTTTAGGTATAAATAGAATCTCCTAGAGCCCACTTTGAAAGTACCATTTATTTTTATTTTTTTTGGCAAAAGTTATGGCTACCTATATTTATATATATTTTTTTGCATTTATTATTTTTTCAACCAACCTTAATATGAATAAATTGCAAATACATTTATTAAGATTTGTTTAAAATACGAATTACATATTGTGATTTTAAAAATTATTATAACTCATTGTCAACTTTTTTTATTTAATAGAAAAAAATAAAATTTTTAACTATTCTCCTAATGCAACAATAAAATTTTCAAAATTGTTAATTAAAATATATTTATGATATTATTAAAATTTGTTAATTGATTAACTTATTAATAAAGGCATCATTTGTTAAGAAATTAAAAATTTAAAGGGACAAAATGCAATTTTAAAAATCCCAAAAAATAATTTATATTGTAATAAAGGATGAGAATCCCTTTCAGTCCAGATTTTGGATTGGAGAGCGATGCTTGGACCCGTGAGGCCCACCACAGCCCCGTTTTCGATGATTTGAACCATTCATTTTATTAGGTACTTTGTGTACTTCATCTACAAAAAAAAAAAAATTAGGTTGATTCCATAATTATAACTTGTTTAATTTTTCACTAAAAAAATAAACAGCAATTGTGTTTTTAAAAATAAATCATACATTTTTTAGTGACAAATGCAATAAATTGAACAAGTTATAGTTCACTACAACATATAAGAGCTTTAGGGACCAAATATTTTGGTCACTAAAAGTGAAATTTTGTTGCAAAAGACATTTATGGACCAATTTCTATTGTCATGAGGATAGTCGCTAAAAGATCGTCCCGAAAAGTCAAAAATAGGGCTTTTAGCAACAAAATTTTGAAAATGTCACTAATAAATAGACTTTTAGGGACAAAATAATTTGGTCTCGAAATAATTTATTTTTTGAGACAAAAAATTTGGTCCCGAAAGGATAAAAATTCATCACTAATGTCCAATTTTTGTTGCTAAAAATATAATAACGACACTTTTCGCAACAAAATTATTTGGTTCCTAAAAA